CAATCTCTCCTTTGTTAGTTGTACTCCACCCATAACTCTTATTTCCCAAGACCACTGCCCATGTCCAGTTTTGATACACTTTCCCATGCTCATAGCACTTGAATAGCCTTGTTGATGCATTTCACATATACTTGATTTCAAGATTATACTCTAATGAGGTGATAATTTTACTAAGTGATGCAACCATCCCCACAATTAATTTGAGACATTTTCAGTCCAAATGAAACACCATTTTTTGCTGGTTTCCTCACTGGCTTATTTTCCATATGGGAAGTGGATTCTCATTACTGAAATAGAGGACTCCAGACAGGGATGAGACAAAATTACATGCATATCCCATACAGAGTGAACCTAATGGACTACTTCTGAGACACTTGGAAAGTCCTCATAAAATTTACAAAGTGAGAGAGAATACTTGTTCAAATTATAATATTTAAGTAAGCATAATTTTTTGATGATTTAGATTAAATTTTTTGATATTTCACATGAACAATTTTGGGTTATTTCTCTCAAAAATTGATTTATGTAACTAATATTTTAACCAAAATACAATTTTCCTGTGATTGTTAGTAATAGCTTGCATCTGCAATGAGTTGACTAATTAGCAACATTTTTAAAAATCATTAAATTAAAAACCATATAGATGTTTAAATAGAATCTTGTAAAAATAAGTTTCTTATTGATTGGAAAAATATTAATTGCACAATACTATCTTGGCTGTGATAAATAATGGGAATGTTTTTCTATCCAGTTTTTCCCTTGTCTGTTAAGTACAGTTTAGCTAGTAATTATCTAATAATTAAGCCAGCATGTCAAAAAGCTTAATTGCTACCTCAACCAATTTTCAATCATATTGATATTAAATGTGAAGAAAACACAATTTAATAAGTGCTTTGATGACAAATTCCAACAATTGTAATTTGTTTCCTGAATCACATGCAGCTTCCAAAGAAAAATGAGATATGCTGAAAAAAAACTTTTAATATTAGGAAAGTTAATATTAAATGATTTCTTTTCATTCCATTTGGAGCTATAAATATTTCCCCTGAATCAGCAATACCAATCATTTCAATTTATTTTCCTTTGATAGTCATTGTTTAGCTAAAATATGTTCACTAACAGAACAGATATCTCCATTCTTAAAGTTAGAGATTGTCTTCTCTTTGAAGAAATTCAAAGTATTCTATCCCTGGATGTCAGATAAGCACCTCTGTATCCTGGAGATGCATTAGGAGACAGCAGAGCCTGTGAAGTCTGAAGTCTTCCTGTAGATCCCTACTCTCCCTTTATTTATACCACAGTTTCCTAATGCATAAAATGAATAATATACTCTGTTGAAGTATGTCCCAAGGGCTAGTGGTCATGACTGTTCACAAGAACTCACTACCTTACGAAAGTGTGGCCACGATATACATTTTCCTTCTGTATTATCCGTATTTATAATTTAGATAACACTAGGATTTTATATTTGGCATTAACTGCTAGCTTTTGAAATCTTGATCCAGCCTTCAAAAAACAAAAAGAAGAAGAAGAAAAAAAAAAAAAAACAGTATAAGGCTAACTCATTTCTCTGCTCAGAAAAGAATCCATCACTTTTGACACAAATAATCCAACAGGGAGGCTCCAAGACATGCCAAAACTTAAAAGTAACACTTTTTTATAACACATGAATACTCCACATATTTTTTATTTTGAAGAATTGTCAATATAAATACGAAAACTTCTCCTCCGGGAATATTTCAGGCCCCATATTCTGGTACAGAATGTGGCAGGAATGTTTATTTTGAACCCTCAGAACTTCTATTTTGTTATCATGGTGCCAAATTCAACTGCCAATTTGTTTATATAGGAAGGATTTGAAATGTGGACATAGGATTTTAGTATTGGATTCCATACAACTCATAAATATATTCAGCAAATGTCTCCAAATAAGGCTGTGACCTAGATACCAGCCCCCCCAAAAAGAAAGATGAATACAAATGTTTGTATCTGAAAAAAAATCTCAGCTGGTATATACAAAAGTACACACATGTGCATTCATGCACACAAATATAAACTTATGCAATTTTCTACGTGTTCACACGAAGAGAATTAAGGAGATAAAATAAACACTACAAAGTTTACATTAAACCAAACATTTCTAAAAGAGATAAATTAGGTAATTATTCATAAAAATGGAACTGGTTCTTTTACTTCAATTTGAGCAAGATAACTTTTAGAGCAAAATTGATTATTCAGCTGTAAAAGAGCAGCTTAGTGAACAACTATGCTTTCATAGGCAATTAATTCATGGATCTTATTTTCATGGTATGTGATACTTCCCACTGAGCCAATTACAGACATCTATTCTGGCCACAACTTACGAAAACCCAGGCTGGCCTAATTTCTGTTAAACTCTTAAACCCCATGAATCAATTACCATCATAACTGAGGGGTTTATATTTTCAACCCAGATGATACCTCCTAAGCATTTAATCTTTCAGGTTAATGAATTAAATGGATGAGGATAACTTACAGGTTTGTCTTTCCAGCCTTGAACTGTTGTAATATCCTGTTATCTTTGAAATAAACTCTCAAAGGAACAGACATATTGTGTATACAAAAGCCAGCAAGTAACTTAATATTTTATGGTTGTTTAAGCAGAAATAAAAAGGCCTTGTGAAAGCCAATATGAAAAATTATCTCTTCAATATTTTCTTTAAAAATCAAAAGTAGAGCATTTTTGACAAGGAAAATTTCTGTATAGTAGTGAAATAATCAATAAAGGTTCTACCTTAGAATTGTTTTGAGCTTTTGTGATCATGTATTTACATGGTCCCTACTGTTCAAAGGATACATTCAACCTTTTTCCCATTCAAGGAAAGAACTACTTTTGGATGTAATGTTGTATTTTTTTGCTTAAATTTTAGAGAAGATAACTAAAGTTCTTAGGAACAGTAACTAGCAGAAATATGTACCCTATGTCTTATTTCCTAATAACTCACAACATCACTTCTATTTATCAGGCATATAAAATGATATATTATATCAACCAGTTGCCTAAAAATAAACCTCAGTTTGCAGGGAACATCTATCTGTATTGTTCCTATGAGCCTAGTAATGACCTTGAGAGGAAAGTGGTCATATTTCCCAGGGATTTCAAACACTAAGGAGTCACTGATTGAACAACAGCAGATCTGATTTAATTTGGATAAGGGTTACCTAGATTTAGAAAAAGCAAACAAAAAGACTTTTGTGTAGTTATATAAAAACTACTTTATAATCCTCTGAGGAATTTCCATGGTAAAATCACATGGCCATCAAAGAAAAGAAAAATATCTACACTGCCCAAGATTCCGTCAGTACACATAGGTGCACATGGAGATGAAGCTCATCTTAACACATTTGCTACATTGTTGTATATCTCTGAGGCTAACTAATTGACATAAATAGGTTCTGTGAGTATCCTATAAAGAAAAAAAAATCAGGCCATTTAATGATGCCTACTATAATCATTTACTCTAATTACAATTATTCTGAAGCAAGGCCTGATGTACACAAGATTTTTAACCACCATTCCCTAATCCAAACTGATACTTTTGCTAGTAATGAGGCCTGAATATATTTACAATGAAACTGCACTGTCCCCTTTAATGCAATTCTACACATTTATGCCATCCTTGACAGTATAAAAACACTTTTCCCATACATATTGTTAATCTTCAGAGCAAAATTCATATATTTATATGATGTAATCATGTGGCAAAACATAGAATGAAACTTGACTTTTACAGTGCCACTGCTAAGTAACTTAAATAGCATTAGAACTCTCTCAACTGGTAGAAGACAGGACACACAACACCTTCCTGTCTTTTCTTCGACCACATCTATTATTTGAAATACTGAAATGGAAGAATGGACAGACACACATTATAAAAATAATTGTTGTGATAATATTCAACAATGTGTGGAAAAGGTTGCCTCTATATTTATATAATATACTGTTTTTCAAAGCTTATTGTGTGGAATCAAAGTCAATAGATCAATGGTGAGTTTCCTCTTAACTCACATTATGGGAAAAAAAAAACTAGTAAATGAATGTCCCAGATTTTTACTCTTTAAGTTGTTTTATTGTCATGAAAGATGAGTAAGTAAGCTAGAAATGGAGCCCATTTAAAGCTCAAATCAAACAGTGGAATTAAAGTTTAATAAAATAACAGCAAGCAAAATTAATGAAAGCAAAGTAGCTTTTAAGGGATTTGTGAGCACACGGCGGAATGCTGCAGAGAGAGAGAGACAGAGAGGGGTGGGGAGAGAGACAGGATGTGATCTTATTTGTCCAGTGCTACTTGGAATGTTCACAGGAGATGAAAACAACCAGCAGAGAAATAATTACTATGCTATCAGCACAACTTCTTTGTGTGACCTCCTGCAAACAGAATGTTCCAGTCATGGCTATTAGAGGGAATTTTGCTAGTAAGGATTGTAGCTTCTCTTGTTGAGCACTTATTATTTGCAAAATACTATAATAGCACTTTTGTTTTCTGCATCAAACCTAAAGGTTTGGGAAAATTTATCATGTCTAGAGAAGAGAAAACAGCCACATCACAGGCCAATCATTTCTTCCTTGTAAAACACAACACTTCCACCAGAAAATGAATCCTGACTGGGGTTTTGAGCAGTTTGACATCAGGATTTTTCATTCAGAGAGACTATCCTTCCTTTTTAGAGTCTCATATAAAATGAAATATTGAGCAAGGCCAGTATACTAATGTGAATATTTATATATTGTCACTATCTTAAGACCCTAATTTTTGGCCAATTTCATTTTTAAATAACTTTGCATACATGCAAACATACGAAGATGCATGCATGCAATTCAACACATTCACCAAAAATATCCTCATCTTGTACATGCTCTTAACAACTCATTCTCTTTAAGAGTTCCCTGCTTTTTCATGGTTTTTCCAAGTGACTCATTAGCAACCCAAGGTAGTAGTCATCTGCTTTCTCCCCCCTAGAAGCTCAGAAGAAGCAATTGGAGGAGAGTATAGAGCTGATCCAAGACGAATGTGTGTCAGAGAATGCAGACCACTCCACAGAGGAGCCTGCTGAAGGAGGGCAAGAAGCGGATGGAGGAGAAATGACTGATGGGGTAGAGGAGGACTTCGATGAAGATGGGGGTCACGAGCTGGTAGGAATGCAATGTTTGGTGTCCACATGTGTTGGGTGACAGCAACAGCATTTGATCAGAGCGTCCATTCTGAAATGAGGACTTTTTTTAATTTCACTTGGGGCTTCTCTATCTTATAAGAATATATTCAAGGGAACGTCAGTATAGTGCTTTGCACATAATAAGTGCTCAATATATTTTTTTTACCATTTTAAATTATGAGGGCGAAATGATTGTAAAATATAAGTGCGATATACAATAGTAGGTATGCATAGAGTCCCAAATGGAAGACTTTCTTCCCCACATTCTCTATCATGGAAGAAAAATTGCATTTGTACAGTTAAGTGTGTGGGTGGGCATAGTATGCTGATGACAAAAAGCCTTCAAGACAAATGAAAGCTTCTTTTAGAAGTTTTTCTGCGATGATTTATTTTTATTTAGCTATTTATTTTGTCTATGTATGTACACACATGCTTTAACACATCTGTCGAGATCAGAGAACAACTTGCTGTGGTAAATTCTCTTTCTGCCATGTGAATCCCATGGAAGATTCCGGTTGTAGTCTTTACAGCAAGCACACTCACCTACTGAGCCATCTCACTGGCCCAGCTTCCTTTAATTCAATAGTTTTACTCACGACCAATAGTCATGCACACTACCTGTGTGGCCAGCCCTCATCTCCACAACTGGCCTGCCATGGTAACTCAGTAGTACATTGTCACTTCTCGTTTCCAGCATCAGTGTCACTTGATAATACATTACTATTGTTTAGGAATTTAGCTAAGACCTGATGCTTTCTTTTCCCAATGTGGAATTTAGTATACTGTTCACTTCCAGGCAGTCTTTCCTTGAAATTAAATATATCTCAAATAACTTGATTGATAAATGTGGAAGATAGTGTGAATATGTGTGTGTTAGAGTGTGTAATTGGGTGTGGGTTGTATATATGATTAAGTCTCAATTGTATCTATAGACTATACCATACATATACTTACTAAATATATAATAACATTATTACAGGTAATATTATAGTCCCATTATTTTAAAACCTATTGTTGCTTAAGTAATATTGTTATGGTTATTGTCATTGCTGTTTGATATGGTGCTAAAATTATCAACCAATTCAATGAAACTATAATGTACTAAGATTCTATATTGATTTTTAACACCCAGCTTCATTTAATTACCATGGCACATTAATTTAAGCTTTTCAAATGTAAGCATTCGCCAATTAACATGGTTCCTTCAAATTTTACTTCAACTGAAGTTTTCAGAATGTGAGGTCTGCCCACTGTTTTAGAATTACAATTGATGGTATTGATCAAAGGCAAGAAGGATAAAGGTGCTCAGTGCTTTTGTAGATGGAACCCTCACTCAGTAACATGATTTCCCTGACTTGCTCTAATCTGACATCTGTTTCAGCATCCTTTTCATGGGCCTGCCAGGAAGATTTCAAGTTTTCATTCCCAGTGATTGCCTCTCTCCATCTCTTTCTCAGCATGATTATGCATAACTAAATACTTCCTTCTTCTCTGAGATTCCCCTTATTTACCAAGTCTTCAGGTTCTTCTGCTATACCTAACCCCTCCTTTAAGTATTCCAATAGGCCATGAATATTTCTGTCACTTTTCTGAGCTGAACTCATAGAGTACCAGAGCTTTAATCATTTTATGCAAACTGAAGATTTTTAAATGAACATTTTATTTCTAATTGCTTGCTATGACTCTTGCCTGTTCACGTAGCCAACACCAGACTGCTGTCCAACGAGCACCTGAAATAACATGGCCATAGTACTCTTGGTTGCTCTCCTGTTGTCTTTCTAGGGCTTCTTCATGCTGTAAACACTGTCATCCATATTTACAGTTATGCCAGTTAGAAGGATGAGCTTATTTCTTCTCTTCTGTGATTTATATATCCACCACAAATTCTTTGTCCAATTCCACTTTTCTCTCCAGACTCTTTATCAGGCTGGGTGGGTTTCCTTTCCCATGCAATCAATTCCAGTCCCTTTCTCTGTTCAATCAAGTCTATATAGAGATATGTTATGAGCAAGTTTCCCACCAGTCTGGTCCCATAGCCACGTCAGCCCCAAATAACACACAGAGACAGTGTGTTAAATATAAAGCTGTTAGCCTATTACAAGCATTTCTCATTGGCTAGCTCTGTCTATTAATGTAAATATTTCCATGTGGTCTCATCAGAGAGAGGGCCCGGACCTCTGTTCTCTCAAATCTTCACATGTTAACTCTCCTCCTCCAATCCTCCTGGTCTCCTAGTCCCGCCTATCTTGCTTTTCTATTGTCCAACAGTGCTTTATTCATTAACCAATAAGAGAAACATATTTACAAAAATATTCATTTACTATACTTCAGATAACATTACACCTTTGCTTGAAACTCTGCAATGCTTTCATTACACTTAGAACCCAAATACTCAAATGTGTGGTACTGTGGTATGAAAGATATAAGGAAAGACAAATTCATAAAAAGAAAATGAGAAAATCCTAAAACCAGAAACAAGGTAGCCATCCCAGATCTCTGCACTTGACTTGGATAAGGTTCTTCCCCTACAACTGACTGCAGGGGATCTGAGAAATAGGTTTCAATGTCACAGGGCACCAAACTTGGGCATGCAAAAGGATAGATTAGATCACAGATCTGTAGAGATAGAAGGTTTTGAAAAAGCTAACAGAAGAGAAAAAAACGAGATCACTAATTTGGAAAATGTATAAAGGCTTACAGTATTCAGAGTGAGTTGACATCAGAGACCAACCAATAATAGAGTAGTACTTTGTAAATTTCCTGGAGAAAATGTTAAAAGCAAACGTCTATGTCCCATTACAGGCTTCTCTGGTTTGGTAGGCTACAGAGAATCCAGAAACTGACAAATGGCGGAAATGAGGACAGCTGTAAAAGGAGTATCTGTCTAGAAGAACTATGCATTTTAACCTGACAAAGAAGGAGAGAAACACAAGAAAGGGGTAAAAAGGGAAAATTAGGAAAGTAATCTGAGTCATACCAAGAAAGCCCAAGTCCAGACTCGCATGTCAGGGCTGGCTACTATCCCCACCCAAATGAAGCATAAAATAAACATTTAGAGACTTGAGAGAACAGAGGCCACATAAGAAAGAAGGAAGCTAAGTTTTCCACTGGTTCTGGGTGTGGCAGGAACTTCTAGCTTATACAGAGGAAGAACTGGGGGACAATCTGGTTCTCCTGAAATATTTGCTCCTATATAAGAGAGTTCCTTGCAGGATCATCTGTCTAGGGGGTTTTTCTATTCCTGGAACCCAAAGGGCTTCAGGCTTAAAACAAGGACTAGAGAGTTTTAGGTAACTTTTTGATGGAAACAGAGAAAGACATTGTAAAAGTGACAGTAAGATGCTTTTGTTACTCTTGACTTTTTGATCTAATCTCCAAAAGAGGATGAGCATACAATGTCATTTGAATTGTTACAGCTTTTCCAGAAAAGCAACTTCTCACAACCTTCACAAGGGAAAGAAAAAATTCCACACTGTTTAAGTAATAGAGAAATGGGGTGGAGGCAACTAGTAGAAGGTGAAATCTTACACTTCAGGACTGAGGTTGGTTGTCTGAGTGGCAGGTGACGACGTGGTCTATGGGAGGTTATGGTAAGTGTCAGGATCAAAGGTCACCACAGATGAAAAACTCAAGAACTAGCATCAAGGTGAGGATAGAATCATCTAAACTCCAACTATTCTAAGAATTAAATGATGAAAGTAGTTCCTGGGTTGAAAACAAGAAGTTGCAAGTCTGTTTTTAGTCCCAGATCTGTCACCTTTCTAATCAAATTGAATCACTTTCAACAGATAATATCTTGAACAAATAATAATCACTTTGAACCTAGTAATATTAATCAGAAGTTTCTTCATGTAGTTGTGTGTTTGTGCATAGTTCTGTGTGGTGTATGTGTGTGTTCAGTGCACCTATGTGGGTAGAAGTGTGTCTGTTAGTGGTGGGAGGAGCAGAGATCAATGCTAAGTGCCTTCTATGCTCTCTCTCCACTGTATATAATGAAACAAAGTCTCTCACTGAACCTGGTGTCCACCAACTGGCTAGACTTTCTGACTAGGGAACTGTAGGGATCTACCTGTCTCTATCCCTACTCTTAGGTTAGAGTTACATTTTTCTTTTCATTTTTGACTTTCTCACATGAGTCCTAAGGATCCCAACTCAAGTTCTAATGCTTATATGGCAAAACAATTTTCTCAGCCTCAAATAAAAAATCCCTTTCTATTGGCTATGCTTCTGTGTCAGAGAAGCAACATGTCGGATGGATCAGAACATGATCACACAGTCATGTGAATAAGATCAAGCCTTGGTGATTGATTTTATTATGATCCTCTCATACAGAAACTGACTGATCAGAGACATTGTGCCTAAGAGCACTGAAATTTATGTGCACAGCCCCCCCTTTTTAAAATAGGAATCTTGAGGAGCTAAAGAATTGAATCTTATTATGTATGGTACTTCACTTTGTTCTGGGATTTGGAATATAATGAATGTGAATGATTTTAGTGTTCAGTCCTTCCTGCAGAAATAGAAACAATGGAGTTTGGGAAGTAAAAGCATAAAACTTTTTTTTTTTGCTATAACAGAGGGCTTTATAGATGTGTAGGTAAATGGATGACACGATATTGCAGCAGGTGACAGAGGTCAAAGATAATATCTTTCCCAAATGCCCAGATGGTTATGCAAGCAGAAGCACAATTCTATTCCAATACAATGGACAAGGAAGTAGGGATCCAACTCAGACCAACTAAGGCCAACACAGTGAAGTAGTAGGATCGGTGACAGGTCCTGTGAGAAACAAATAGAAGCTGAGGACATGCGCACTGTCTGCCAAGTAACAGCTACTGAATATCCACCGAGTGAAATCAATTTCCGCGTGTCAATCTAATCATATAGTGTTAGAATCCTACTAAGCATGAACACAGTACTGTCAAAAGTGCAAAATCAAATGCAGTGATTGCTTCAAGTGTGGAAATTATGTGTCTACGG